CGTCACTTCAATCATAAGAGTATGCGCAATTGTAATTACCCCTAGTGCCAATTCTAAGTGCCACGTGATTTCATTTAGTTGTGTGTGCCATGGATCCCAATAAGTTTACGTTGACCGCCTTGAAGGATTGTCTGCACTGTTCCAGACACCGAACAGACCACTTCTGGGGACACGGACAATTATCCAGGTCCCACCCTGGAACAAACGCCAAACCGTTTGTCGGAGAGGCAGAGCCACGATAAGAAAATTCATTTGTTACGTGGAGAACAAGAATTACTGAAAAGAGAGCTTGAACTCGCAAGGCGAGAATTACAAATGCTCCGGAATAATTCCCACGCAATGGTTTAGCAGTTAGTGGCTGTTACCAGTCAACAGTCATCATTGCCTACTGCCACTCATCAGCCTCCACTTTTTGTGAAAGTTAATGCAATGAAAGACTTGTTGAGCGAATTTTTAGGGGCCGAAATGGATTTTCGTAAATGGAAGGAGCAATTTCAATTGCTTAGATCCACGTATAATTTAAATGACGAACACAGACGGGTGCTTACTGCATCGAAACTCAAGGGTAAAGTGTTAAGATGGTTTCACTCGAATTCGAAATATATAGGATTGTCGGTGGACAATCTTCTGATCGAGATTGGAGCCATATTCGATAGACGCAAAGATAGACTGACATTGCGAAGGAAATTTGAAAGACGATCGTGGAAATCTTCCGAATCTTTTACCTATTATTTCCATGAAAACCTTATATTATCCAACACGATTACTATTGAGCAAGAATAACTAGTTGATTACTTGATAGACGGTATACCGGATGTGTCTTTAAGAAACCATGCAAGGATTCATCGATTTGTGGAAATGCAGGATCTTTTGACCGATTTTGAAAAAGTTTCATTAAAAGATGACACGAAAGGTAACCAAGGAAGCAGTTCGAGTAATCCACAAAAAACTTCAACTTTAGGAAGTGTTGCGAAGACTCAGGCAGTGGCAAGTGAAAACAAAACTAGTGTACGTTGTTTTAATTGTAGTAAAACTGGTCACATGGCATCGACCTGCAAACTTCCGAAGAGACCTACTAGAGCTTGTTTTAAAAGCTTCGAGTTGGGGCACCAGTCAAAAGATTGTCCGAAGAAGTCGGCGCAGGACAAGGGCCGATATCAAGTCGCTAATCTGTCAAAGCATTCATCAGATGAGCAGCCGGAGGATCAAATTGGGTGTGTGGCAGTCAATTTACGGGACGACCTTCTTTTCGAGAAGTTCCTCGACCAACAAGATTTTCGGAAATTATCTTGCGAGTTGAGTGATAGTGCGCGAGTCCCGCAGAGTGATTGTGTCCCCGTAATGTCCATCGATAAGCAGTGTTTTCGAAATCTTTCTTATAATATCGGTGACAGTGCGGGAAATCACCTCGTGGTTTTTGATACATTATTGGATACTGGTAGTCCAATAAGTTTTATCAAAACTAGTTTAGTTCTGGAGGCGATCATCAGGATACCAGCGGCGGAATCATCAGTCAAGTATTGTGAAATAAATAATAGTGTATTGGAGAATCATGGAGTTGTATCTGAAAAGTAACAATTGATAAAATACAGCGTCATATTGATGTTTTTATTGTACCTGACAGCACGATGCGTGCGCCTGTTACTTTAGGTCGTGACGTATTAAAAATATTTAATTTAGCGTTAGTCGCTTTACAAAAAGAAGAAGCTCAGGAAATTAAAGAAATTTTTCAAATTGATTTTCGAGAATATAATATAGAAGATACTTTGAAAATTAATATGGCGATAGATTCTGAAACTAGTTTATTATTACAAAAATTTGTAACGATAGAGTATCGTAGTATAGTCGCCCGGCGAAAAGAGAGAAAGTAGACAGCGTAAGTAGTAGTGTCACTCTCTTCCCCCACCATTCGCTGTCACCTAGCTGCTAGTGATATACCTCTCGTCTCGCACCTTTTTCGTCAGTCTTCTTCCGACTCGTCCAGAGGTGTTTCTCTAACAATTGGAAGCAACTCACTCCTGACTACCTGGTGCTCAGTAGAGGTGCGTCTCTCTGAACACCAGAGCCTTCCTAGAAGGAGCTGTACTTGTTCCTGTAGGAGCTCCTGCGGAACAGTAACACTCTTCTTCCTCCTGGTGAAACGGACTTCCTATGGGCGCTCCCGTGGAGGACTGGTGAATCAGGTAACACACATTTATCAGGACCATCCTTGTCAAGTAGAGGCGCTCCTCTCTTGACAAAGATGATGCACTAGGTCGATTCCCCATCTCGAGGCGCTTCTCGGGTGGAGGATACACCTAGTGAATATTACTTTGCACTTGCTTCGCGTCGGGCATGAATATTGGAACCGAATCGTTATATTTTCTAGTGTTTAGTATTTTGTTTGCATTGTATAAATTCTTTTGTTCATATTATTTTGTAATACTTCATTTTTGTACATTTTATTATTCTTTTATTTAGACAATATATTCTCTTTCGAAGGTTTAAAAAAGACTCGTCAATGACTACACTTTTCCTCTACATCATAGTAAGAAATAGTTCCGAAATTAATCGAAACATAGATGGCGCTTCACTCCATCACCGATAGAATTCGATCGTTTTTGTATGATTTCTTTGAATTCAGAGACGTTAATAATACCATTAATAATAGGCTACGAAATAGAGATAGTGTACTAAAAATACCAATCGATAGAACTTGCAAAATGCAAAAATGATTTATTGTAAGGGCTGCACGTTTGTGGAATAAACTGCCTGCTCAAATTAGAAATGTATCAGAACAGTTAATATTTAAAAAATTATTTTTCAAATTTTTATTTGATAGAAATGCAGTATGGGACATAACTTATTGGTGAAAGTAAATTAGTATATTGAGACTTAATTATAATTTATCATATTTGTCACTCCATGACTTGATAAAAAAAATGTAAAGTATAATTTTGGGGAATCGCAGTATATTGCATTTGAAGCGCTTAAGTCGAAGTTGATCAAAGCCCCTGTACTGAGTATTTATGATCAAAAAATGAGACTGAGCTCCACTGTGATGCCAGTAAGCTGGGATACGGCGCGGTTTTGTTTTAGAGTAAAAAGGATAGTCAGTTCCACCCTATTTTTCAAAGCGCTAAATCACGGTATCACAGTTTTGAGCTGGAAACTTTGGCTATCATTTATGCTCTAAGACGCTTTCACATTTATTTGGCGGGCATAAAATTTAAAATCGTGACAGACTGTAATACACTAAAAATGTCTCTTGACAAAAAGGATATTAGTCAACGAATCGAAAAATGGTGTTTTTAACTCGAAAGATACAATAAAACTGTAGAACACCGATCGGGCGAGCGTATAAAGCACGTGGAAGCTCTGAGTAGAATGGTGAATCTGATGATTGTTGAAGAAAATTCCTTCGAGTCGAATTTAGCAATGAACCAAAATTTAGATGTAAAAATAAAAGAAATTCGCGAAAAATTGCAGAGTAGTGAGGATAAATTGTAGGAAATGCATAATGGATTGGTTTATCTGAAATCTAATGACGAGATTCTGTTTTATGTTCCTGAGAGAATGATAAGCAATGTGATAAGAAAAAATCATAATGAGATGGGACATTTCGGCGTCGAAAAGACGTGTCAAGCGATAATGAGAAACTACTGGTTTCCTGGTATGAGAGAGAGAGGGAGAGTATACATCGCAAACTCTCTGAAATGCGTCACCTTTTCCCCCTCTTCAGGGAGGAGGGAGGATTACTTAAATCCTATTCGGAAGGGCGAAATTTCTTTTTCGACCTGCCATATCGATCACTTTGGTCCAATTGACCCGAAAATTTCTGTAGAGAAACACATTTTACTTGTCATTGAGGGTTTTACGAAATTTGTAAAATTATTTTCTGTAAAAACGACGGAATCAAAAGAGACAATTAGTTGTCTAGAGGAATATTTTAAAAATTATAGCAGGCCAAAAACAATAGTCTCTGATCGAGGTACTTGTTTTACATCGAGTGAATTTAAGAATTTTATGAAAAAAAAGTTGTAAATCACGTTCTCATTGCGACCGCGTCACCGAAGGCAAATGGACAGGTTGAGAGTGTTAATCGAGTTTTGGCTCATATGCTTGCGAAAATGTCTGATAGCTCATCGGGGAGATATTAGTGTAAAATACTTACCGATGTTGAGTTCGCTCTAAACAATACCGCCCATAGCGCGACTGGTATGACTCCTAGTAAGTTACTGTTCGGAATTAATCATAGGGAAAAAATTGTTGACGAGGTGGCTGAATGTTTGGAGCGAACTGAACAGATTGCCGACAGTTGAGACCTTGAGAAAATCCAACACGAGGCTAGCGAGAAAATGAAAAAGTCTCAAAGTTACAATAAAGCGTATTTTGACAAAAAAAAGAACCGTTCAAGTATGGGGTGGGAGATTTTGTTATGGTGAAAAATTTCGATAACACTGCCGGAGTCGCGAAAAAATTGATACCCTAATATAAGGGTCCGTACGAGATTACGAAAAAGTTGCGTCATGACAAATATGTTTTGTCAGATGTCGAGAATTTTCAATTAACTCAAAAAGCTAAAACTGGTATATGGGAGGCATGTAATATAAGGCCTTGGCATGCCCAGTTTGTAGCGATGATATGCGAAGCTTATTCAGAACATTTCCCTTCGTTGTGAAATTATTGTCTGTGATTTTTAAATTGTAAATAGATTGAATGAAATTAATTAATAGTTCGAGACGAACTATGTCCGGAAAGACGAACTGTGAGAGTCTTATATTTATATTGTATCGCTACGAATGTCTACCACAATGTAATAGTAGGGGAAATACGAATTTGGAAGATAACGAGTCTGTCAACGATAAACCTTCTGTAAATTGACATGGATTTTACTTTTATGTATATTATATTATTTAAATAAAACCTTTTATATCTTACAATTATAATTAAATTTTTTAATCCAAATTATCTATTTAAAAACAGATAGGAAACTGGTCAAATATATTAGAAAACATTCTCTAAATTTTTTTCGGATTTATTTTATTGTAGTTGAGAAAAAAATTCCTGAAATTTACACATTTTTTTACCTTTAAATGTAGGCGCCCTCGTTAATTAAAAAAACGACATTAAATAATAAAACTCTATAAGCGAGAGAAATCGCTCATGAAGAAGTGAGAGATTGGAAAAGTGAAAAACTGTATAAGCAAGAAAAAATTGCCGGTTCCTGGAATTGTTTCTTATCCTGGTTCGACTGTACATCGAAGCATATCCTATTTAATACAATGCACTTCATATAATTAAAATTTCGATGAAATGAACAAGAAAAAATTTTTAATCTATTAACGTTGAGGTGTGTAACTGCTTAACGCATTTCTGTCAAAATCTATCGAAAGTATTATTACAATTATCAAAACCAAAATATTTTACTTTACAAATAGATCTTTAAGTGAAGAACATAAAGATGGTTCGCAAGATTCAGTCTGCTCCTCTTCTTTGTTTCCAGAAGAAAACCAGGCAGCCATCTTGCCTGAGGTATTTTTTGACTTTCTTGGCGATGCAACTGGTTTTCCACAAGAATTACTGGATCCCTCAGAATCACTTTCTCTTTGAGACGTTAAAAAGTCTTCTATTGCACTGCCGAGAACCTGTTAGAAAAATCTAATTTATTAATGTCCTTTTTAATATTAAATTTCATTTTATATTTTTATCAACATTGTTCTTTGTCAAATGAAATCTGTGAATATTTGGTTAATCGGATAATAATTTAAAAAAATACGATTTTCTATTTCAATATAAAATTTTTGTTAAGAAAAAGGTACTTAGTAAGAATTTATGAAGCGTGACACCCAAAATCAAATTATTTTCCATTTCGATATTATGTTGTTTCTCTATACATATCTAATAATGTTTTATAAGAATAATCACAATACCAAAGAATATTACTAAATTTTGAAAAAAATATTAGTTATAAAATGATAACTTACAATACTTTATTATAAAAACAAAATTTATTAATATTTATAATAATATGTAGAATCTATTCTGCTAAAAGCACTAGTAATTCATTATACGGCCCTGAGTGTTTATAGTATTCTACGTCAAGGACATTTTTCCGTAGAGCGGACTAAGACTACTGCCGTACGCTCTTGGCAGTTTCCAGTGTATGTCTGTTTTCAAAAATTGGTCAAATTTTGGACATTTTCTAAAAGAATCAGTGGGCAAAAAACCATGTTCGTTTTAAATATGTTATAAGAACATTTTTTAATATGGACTATCTTGCTTCCATGGCCGCCTGAAAATACCCCTACTTGTGATTGGTGGACACGATATCTCCAATTCAGGTCATCGAAAAATAAAATTTTTGATATTGTCTTGAAAAGTAAGGTCGTTGCTAACGTCGGAACTACAATCAACTATTTTCGATGAAAAAAAAACAAAATGGCGGACTTTTTTCATTTTTGACCTTGTTTTTTCAATTTAAATTGTTTAAAAAAATGGTTAAATATAGAATATATATGTCGTAGGCATTTAGAAAAAGCTGCCATTTAGCTTAATTACTAGGCATTAATCTAAATGGCGGCAACAAGAAAAATGATTGTTGAAAGATGGTTATTTTTGTATTTGTTTGTAATCAATTAGTCATTTATCTTATTGCCTAGGCATTAAGGAAGTCACCTAAAGAGCATCCGGCAAATAGAAAAATGAGATTTTGTGCAAGAGTGTCTCACAATATATTTAAAAAAATATGACAAAAAGCAAGAACTGGAAAGGTTTTGTCATCAAAAATTTTTATTTTAATATTATTACAATATATTAAAAAACTTTGTCAACAATTAACTAACTATGACTGTGAATATTATACAATATAAATTTAAACTGCAGTTTTCAAAAGCTAATATTTCAAATTTTCAATTAAAAACATAAACACTGATTTACAAACACGCAAAATTAATAGTGCTTTAAATTGGAAATCTAAACGTCTAACCAATATTAATATATTTTAAAAATTTTATTTTAAATAATTTATTTACTTTATTTATTTAACAAAAATATACGGGCAATAGCCTATAATCATTAAAAATTATTATTTTTATTAATATTCTTTTTATTACATTGAAATAATATTAAAATAAAAAATAAAAATTTTTGATGACAAAACCTTTCCAGTTCTTGCTTTTTGTCATATTTTTAGGGTTCCGTACTCGGTTCGGAACCCTATTAATATCGGTTTTACCTGATAGCAATTGATTATCATAACGTTGTCAAGGAAAAACCATGAATTTTTACGAAAAATGTCTAAAAATGACTATGTACCCCCCCTCTAGCAGCCACATCTTTTGACATAAAGAGCTCAAATTTGGCACACTTACGTATTTTAACGTGAAAATTACAGGAAAAATATAGCGAACTTGATTCGGATGAATTTACATAGCGTTGTCAAGGAAAAATCAAAAATTTCGAAAAAAAATGATTTTTTCTCCCTAGCGCACACAATATTCAACCCAGACAGTTCATATTTAGTATACAAATGTATTTTTACGGAAAAAATACAGGGAAAAAAAACTATCACGATTAGAGTTGATGATTAACTTTTTATCAAGTTTTTCAAGAAAAAATGACAATTTTAGGAAACAAAATGTATTTTTCCACCAAAAACGAACAAAATTTTATTTAAAGGGATTTAAATTTATATATTTAAACGTATTTTTACGTGTAGATTCCAAAAAAATTTAGCGACCATGATTGGAGTTGATTATCATAGCGTTGTCAAGGAAAAACCATGATTTTTTACAAAAAATGCCTAAAAATGACTATGTACCCCCCCCCCCCTAGCGGCCACATCTTTTGACATAAAGAGCTAAAATTTGGAACACTTACAAATTTTAAGGTGAAACTTGATTCAGATCAATTTACATAGCGTTGTCAAGGAAAAATCAAAAATTTCGAAAAAAATGATTTATTCTCCCTAGCGCACATAATATTCAACCCAAACTGTTCATATTTGCTGTAAAACTGTATTTTTGCGTGAAAAATACAGGGAAAAAATGTAAGCGCGATTGGAGTTGATGATCAATTTTTATCAAATTTTTGAAGAAAAATGATAAATTTAAGAAAAAAATGTATTTTTCCGCAAAAAACGAAAAAAGTTTATCTAAAGTGATTCAAATTTATATATTTTGACGTATTTTTACTTGAAGATTATAAAAAAATATAGCGAGGATGATTGAAGTTGATTTTTCTGGGGCTGTCAAGAAAAAACTGATAATTTTAGAAAAAATCATGAATTTTTTCCGAATAACGAAAAAAATTTTATCTAAAGGACTTCAAATTTACTATTTTTGCGTATTTTTATGTGTAGATTATAGAAATAACTTAATAAACATGATAAGAAGTGGAAAAATTCGACTTTTTCCTTAAGTTTATTTATTCAGTATTCATAACTCTAAAATAAAACAGGGGTTTCTTTATGTTCATTTCATAAAAATTTGGCTTCCTCGCGGAGGAAGCAATAATTTTGTTTCACTCATTTAGGTGATTCAAATTCAATTAAACCGCAAAATTTTATAGCCAAAATGCGAATTATTGATTTTTTAAGTTTCATTAATTCATTAAATTTACCTCAAATGAACCTCATTTACCTCAATGATAAGTAAATTAGTATATAATAATCTACGGAAAAGTACATTTTTAATAATTAAATAGAATATTTAAAAAATAACAGTAATCAATAAAAAATTTACCTTCTATTTTCTCTTACCCTCATTTTTCAATTTCAATTCTTGTATTTATTAAAAAATAAAAATAAAATCTGTTACACTCGCACTGAAATCGAGGGTTCCGTACTCGAAGCGAACTTATTTGGTATAAAAACAAATATTTGAAAAATATGTGTTGTATGTTAAATAATATAAGTGATACAAAAAAGGTTAATTTTTTAAAAAAAATATAAAAAAATAAAAATATTATAAAATATAAAAACAAAAAAAATATTTAAATATGTGTTGTATTTCAAATAATATAAGTGATACGAAGAGGAACAGTTTTCTTAAATTTTACAAAATTGTTCCTTTTTGTATCACTTATATTATTTGAAATACAACACATATTTAAAATATTTTTTTGTTTTTATACCAAAGGAGGAACAATTTTCTTAATTTTTTTTTAAATTGTCCTTTTTGTATCACTTATATTATTTAACATACAACACATATTTTTCAAATATTTGTTTTTATACCAAATAAGTTCGCTTCGAGTACGGAACCCTCGATTTTAGTGTAACTCGCACTTGTTTAAATATATTGTGAGACACTCTTGCACAAAATCTCATTTTTCTATTTGCCGGATGCTCTTTAGGTGACTTCCTTAATGCCTAGGCAATAAGATAAATGACTAATTGATTACAAACAAATAGAAAAATAACCATCTTTCAACAATCATTTTTCTTGTTGCCGCCATTTAGATTAATGCCTAGAAATTAAGCTAAATGGAAGATTTTTCTAAATGCCTACGACATATACATGTACATGTATATACTAGCGTATATGTACTCGCGAAGAGTACGCTCCATGAGCGCATGACTTTTACGTTGTACCCCGTTTTACGATATGTTACCGAAGTTTCCAACTAAAATAATAGTTTCCACAGCATTGCTACATATATCTACTACAAGAATATGCTGTTTTTAGAATACCAATTTTCTTGAAAAACGATGTGGTACTAACCCCTTAATTGAGGATTTTTGGGCTCGCTGATTGTTACATCCCGATATATTTTTGCAAATCAATTGACTGACTGCCCTTAATAGTATATTTCCATGCAATCACATATGTGTATCAAATATTATAAGAACATCTGTTAAAATTATAATATGAAATACATGCGATTGTTTGTTATTTTTGTTATATTGTTTTTGCAATAAAAAGATACACTGTTTTTATATATGATAATCAATTTTTTCTATATATTATATATGCAAACAATCATAAAATAAAAAACAATTGATTATTATATCGAAGTAGACTTAACTTACATAGATAATTAAACGGCGGTTAGTATATTATCTACACGTATGATAATTAACCGGTTGCCCCCCTTAGTTACGACTCTACGGTCGGTAATATAAAAAGTTCAAATTTAATAGAGTAAATAATTGCACTCCAATATATACACGGAGAGAAATTTCTTACTTTAAAAGTATCAATAACATACTAGCGATTTTCGTATGTCCGTTTTTTTAACAAAAACACTTACAGTTATACTGAAATAATTTAAAAAATTCCCAAGCGTTAAAAAATCCCTGGTATTAACGTTATTAGTAGCAACTTTATGGCTGTATTGCATGAAAGCCAAATGAATATAGTTCCCTTCTGTGCCGTGCGAGATTCATTCAAGGCACATACCTAAAAAACGTGAACGTCGAGCGATTTCTTCAATTAGTTGTCAAATAATCGTTCGACGTTTGACGCTATATTAGTATGTGCCTTGAACGAAATTCGCATGGCAGGATGAAGAACTATATTCGCATAAAATTCATACGAATATAGAAGAATCAACGACAATTTATCCCTCGGGAACAACCCAAACTATCTTAGTATGTCTAAGAATGGTATTGGTTGTAACGATATTCTCTATCTCTCTCTACGAA